TTTATCCGAAAAAGGGCTTACGGAATCTGCTGCGCTGCAAGCTGGACGGACTGGGGCTTCGGTTCCCGAGTGGAGCCCCGCCGCCCGCTCTCTCCCGTGAAAGACCGACCGACGCACCGCGGGTCCGAGGCCCGGATACGCGCAGACGCCTTCTCCGGAACGAACGAGGTGAGCCTGTCATGCACGGCGAACCAGGGGCAGAACTGCTGCGAGTATTGGAAGTGGAGCTTTCAGAGAAAAAAGGTAGAATTTTGGAGAACCTGTGTCTGGCACCATGAGCTTGGCAGCTTCCCAGTGCTTCAAGTTCAGTTGTTTGTGATTTCAGATGCAGATTGCTACCACCTTTGAAAAAACGACCACTGGTCAAGTTTTGAGGTAGGCTGTGTCAAAGAAGAATACTGATAATGACCAGAAAGGGCAATCACGTAAAGTGCTTCTCTCCCCCTAACACACAGACCTGTGCGAGGCTCTGTTTTGTTTCCATTTTTGTTTGTCTACTTCAACCAGAGCAACATCCTGCAACACAATGAATGAACAGATTTTAAAATGTTTGAGTTTTAACTTCTGATGGAGTATATACGGAGAGCAACAGTCCACATACACAAAGACGCTTTGGTGTCCTCAAGCATTTTTAAGAGTGGGGTCCAGAAAGTCCCGAAACCACCGGCTAACGAACACACCGCTGCAGCGCCTTCCACAGGCTGTGACTCACTGACAAGGACAGTGAAGGGGAAAGCAGGAAAGCGAGCACTTTGCAAACTAAACACAAACAGGAATTTGAGGACCACCCGTACAGGCCCTGGTCATGCCGGGAGGGCCCTTAGCATCCCCTCCGGTCTACAGAGGCCAGGCTATTATGCTACAGGGTGGGGGTGGGGTAGGGTGGGGAGCACCACCGAGACAGTGAGGATCTGATCTGTCACTGGGAAGATGAGCTCAAGCCCTAATGCCACTCCCGCCCAGGCATATCACTTCTGTGGAGCTGTGGTGCGTTCACCTGTAAAATGGGATATGACTCCCCATACCTGCCTTTGCCCTGGGAGTTGCCACAAAGATCAACTGAGAAGGCACGAGGAATAGTAAGCACGTGTGTTTGTGAGGCAAATTCCACGTGCCAGGTTCGATGCTTAACGATCCGTTCTAGGGTCGCGCCGGAGTCCCGCCACTACCAGGACGAGGAGGCCGTTCCTCCTGTCTGCAGACAAGGAACCCCGCACGAGAGAAGGCAGACGACCTGCCTGCGGCTGCAGAGCCAGCGAGCGGGGAGCTGGGGTCCCCGGTCTGACTGGCGCCCACACCCACATTCCTCCCTCCACTCGCCGGTCACAGCCTGTCTCACCGTGTACGACAAGGGGAAAGTTTACGAGGTAAAGCAGCTTTTTGCAAAAACCGCTCTCGAGAACGTGAGAGACACAGGCAGTATGAAGAGCGAGGGACCCGAGCCCTGACCTGGCCCATGCACCCGGCGCCGCCCGCCCTGCGGCCCGCAGGCGCTGTGGTGTGAAGGCAGAAGCTGGCCAGTGGCAGCCCGCCTGGGCCCCATCTGAGGTTCACGCCGACACCTCCGCGGCTCCTGGGGGTTTTCGCGGGACGTCTCGCGGGGTCATCACCCCGTCCACAGCCGTCGAGAGCATGGAGAGAGACACGCATCTAAACGGCAACGGAGAGAGCCACTGCCACTTAGGGGGTCTGAGTCTGCAGGGCCAGCCCTCCGGAAACTCCGGAGCACAAGAGGCTTGCAAAGCCGATGGTCTGTAAGTAACACAAACAGTTCAGGTTGTTCCCTGGCTAGAGTCAATCAAAACAGAAAGCTAGACCTGCAAAACCTGCAAATCATTTTCCTCCGTAAAAGCAATGTTTCAATATAAACTATTAAAATACTCGTTATAAACAGTATCTTAATTTGAAAGTGGAACACAAAACATTTGGTATTTGCTAGCTGAATCGAAGATACATCAGGAAGTCTAAGAAACATGCGAGTTCCTTTTTTAAAAAAATCTTACCTCCTAAATTTCGACTGTATACACTATTGCTTAACATTTCCAGCCTCCGCTAGCCTAAGTGAACGAAATGTTGGGGAATCTTCTGAGAGATACTGGTTCTCATGGGGGTGTTCCAGAGCTTCAGTAAGGCGGGGTGCTCCCCCAAATCCTTAGCCTGGCACTGTAGGTGCTGCAAGCTGACCCCGAAACCCCTCCTGCCCTGGGGGGCCTGGCTTCTTCTGCAGCCTCTGCCCCAAGGCTTGGCCCCATCAATGCACCCCATGTGTCCTTCCCCTTCCTGGCAAAACAGAAAAAGGGAAGCGGCAAGCTGCAGACTGACTGTTGTCGGGTTGTACAGACTCCTGGGACTGGCTTTTTGTTCCATCAGAATAGCCTTCCCTTAGTAGCCAATGTTAGTAAAAAACTGATTCTTTCACCTGCCCCTCAAAAAAGGGGTGCCACCACTATCTTCGAGGGAAAATGTTGATTTTTATATTTTTAATTAAACGAATTGGCTCTTCTAGCAATTCCCTTTAGATCTTTCTTGCTTTTACTCCTTAAAAGATAGTTGATTTGGAAGACGGCGGCTTGCAGCTTGGGGATGTTTAGGGGACTCACTGGATCTGCTCTTCCAGTTGGGGAGCCGCCCCCCCTCCCCAGAAGGAGGGGACAGAGGCAGTTGGGCAGCAGGTGGTACAGACAAGGGGTGCCGAGACAAAGTCTGGTTCACGTCTCCTTCCTAACGGCGTGCCTGGACAAGCTACACAATCCCGCCGTGCCTCAGTTTCGCTGTGGGGCCGTCGTGAGTTGTTGAATAAAAAATTCCTGAACCTGGCGTGTGCGTAACGCGTGAGAGCGCCCAGTAAGTACCAGTCGTGTTGCAGGGCGGTGAGCAAGCGTGTCTCTCGATGGGCGAATGCAGACGACGGCCGACGTCTGGGCGGCCCCCGCCCGGCACATGCACATGCACACGCACGCGCAGAGCGGAGGGGCCTACGGACCAGGGAAGCGTGCGCATGGGTCGGCTCAGGAAACGTGCGAGTCAGGTCAGGTGGCTCCTGACTTGAGCCAAGTGCGTCTGGTCTCCTGGAAACTGCAGGTTAGCAAGATTCCCCTGTGAAAGCAGTGACCTCGGCGAGCACGGGGCTTCCTCCCGGAGCGGGGCTTCCTCCCGGAGCAAGCCTTCTACCAGATGTTGCCAAAGCGCGCGGGCAGAGTCTGCTTTCACTTCCTTTCTTCCCACCAGACTGCCCCCGGGGCGATGCCCCAGCAAAGAGGTGAGTGAGGCCCAGAGGAGGACAGATGAGAGGGCCTCTTACGAATAAAAGACATCCAAACACAGTAACACAAGATTTACAGAAGTACCATGGGTTCACCCGAAAAGCCCGAAGTGTAGAAACACATATGTGCTAATAAGGCAGAGGGCCCGACCTCCAGGCTGCAGACCGGTACCAGCCCAGGCCTGTCCGGAACCGGGCCTCACGGCAGGAGGTGAGCTCGAATGTAATGTGCCTGAATTGTCCCCAAACCATCCACCCTCCCTGACCCCCTTTCACGGAAAAACTGTCTCCACTAAACCAATCCCAAACTTAGCACAGTGGCCCCCAAACTTTTTGGGGACCACTGTGCTAAGGTCAAAATGACGCTTTGTAAAGTTTTTGAAAATAAGACATATTTCTATGCTCAACCTTTATTTCCTCTGAGATTGTCACTGAGCAAGACTGAGTCAGCAGCATAACCTACCCATGAGAATTAAACTGTCGGGAAGACAGATGCACACACACACACACGTGTATTTGTCCAGCGTGATGGGAAAGAATATTCTGGTTGGTCAAATACTCCGGTTAATATACACAGAAGGTTTTCACTTGTCCTAGAGGGTGTGTTCCTGTGGGAGCTAGCCGTCCGTACCACCCAGACTGGTGGTAAGACTCGTGCCTGAGCATGCGAAGCCTATCTGGTATCTGAGCGACTGAGCCGGGCCAAGGCATCGTGAGTGCGAGGAGTTCTGGGTCCTTAACGGAGGCCAAGGTGCAACAGTGAGAGGCTGGGGGAGAGAGAGAGAAGGAAGCGGCTCCTCTTCTTCAGGAAAAGGCCAAGGAAAATACGGCGGCATTTTCCTGGGGGTACCTTCCAGCCTCCCTGTGCTCCTCTCTCTCGGGACTCTGGAGACGTGAGAGTTGATTAAATGAGCTCACGAAAGCAGCCTTTTCTCAGGGTGGACATGGTAAGGCTGAGGGAGGGTGGTGGGCACCACCTGTGGGTGCCCAAACCATGCTGCTTGGCAAAAGGGTCCTCCACCCCCACCTTTATGTCTGCCTTCCAGGGTTGCACCTCCAGTGCCCCAGGTTTTTAGGGATGCTGCTTGTCATTTATTTCTTTTCTTTTTAAATTCTTTTTTTAAAGATTTTATTTATTTAGAGAGGGAAGGGAGGGAGAGAGAGAGAGAGAGAGAGAGAGAGAAACATCAATGTGCGGTTGCTGAGGGTCATGGCCTGCAACCCAGACATGTACTCTGACTGGGAATCGAACCTGCGACACTTTGGTTCGCAGCCCATGCTCAATCCACTGAGCTACGCCAGCCAGGGCTTGTCATTTACTTCTGAAACCCCAAATTCCCTGAAACTCAACATCTTTTTCTTGGTAGTGGGTTAAAAGAACGTGGGGAGTTGGGAGAGATTAATTATCTGTACGTCAGGGATCAAAATGCACGGTCACCTCCACACAAGGGAGACGAAACACGTGTGGCTGACACAGAAACCATGGTCACCGGACTCACTACAGGGCGCAGCTGCTAGAGGTTGTCTAGAACAGGCACAGAACGATGGCAGAAGGTGGGAAAGACGTCAGGCTAACCTGTGTTTCCGAGACTCGATGAACCTACTCACGTCTCTGCTGGGCCGCAAGCACAAATTCTAGGAACTTTGCAACGGCACTGTCTTTTCATGAGACTCCATGCCCAGGGCTAAAAAGCTTTTTGGCTGTAATTTTAAAAAAATCGCTTATGAGGTAGCTTACCAGATTTTTCAGCAGTGTGGACAGTTCCTTTGTAAGAGTAGAAAATTTGACAAAAGCAGTGCCAAGATCTGGGTTGTCTCGGCTTAAAAAATTACTCCCAAACTTATCCAGAACTTGTGCATAGTTTTCTTCATTCTGTACATGATCTGAAAAAGAGAAAGAAAGCGGAGTCTGAGCTGTTAGCTGCCACAATCCCGAGTTTCTCGGAACATCGATGGGCCATTAGAAGCTCGCACAAGGGAAGTGAAGAGGAACAGTCATCCATGATGCATCGGACGTGTCCAGAAGGTGGTTAGCAGGGTGCTGAGTACCCTCCACTGAGGCAGGTTCCCCCTTTCTCCCTCACAGCACTTAGCTCACTCATGCCCCAATTAATCCATGGGCTCCCGAGGGCTGCGGAGTCAAATAATCATCCTATTTTCAAGCAACTAAGAAACTATGGTAATCAGGAAACGAGGAGAAAAGTCTCCTTAGAATCGAATCAACCTTGGAGGGCAAAAGAGAACTCCATGTGTTCTAACATGTTTCTTTTCCTGCAACTCATGTTCATTTCATGTTTTTCTAAGCCCCGGGGCCCGAGGGGCCTGAGCACTTAGCGTTCAAGTGCTTTCTCACACCCCACCTCTCAAAGTGTGCAGGTGCTGACCAGCCGTCCAGGTTGCAGGCTGGGTTTCACCACCCGAGAGCTTTACGGCCTTAGTGTCTCAACTTCCACAGCTACTGTCCTCTAGGGCACATGGATGGAGGATGGGGGGTGGGTGCAGGGCTGGGGGGCTGGGTGAAAAAGGTGGAGGGATTAAGTAAAACAAAACACTCAGACATGGATACCAGCAGGGTGGTTACCAGAGGGAAAAGGGGCGGGGGGAGGTAGGAGAGGGTACACAGAGGGGATAAAAGGTGGTGGAAGGAGACATGACTTGGAGTGGCGAACTCACAGTACAATATACAGATGATGTATTACCTGAACTGTACACCTGAACACTATGTAATTTTATTAGCCTATGGCACCGCTATAAATTCAATAAAAAGAGAAAAACATATACAAAAATCTCCCAATAGTGAATGCTCCATAAAAACTTCTACTTCCTGGAAACGCTAGGTTTTTAAAAACTGAATTTATTGGGGGTGACACTGGTTAACAACATTATATCGGTTTCAAGTGTACAATTCTAAATACATCACCTGTGTATTGCACTGTGCACTCACCACCCCAAATAAATTCACCCTCTGTCACCATAAACTTGACCCTCTTTACCCTCTTCTTCTTCTCCCCACCAGCTCAGCGGTGGGTAACCTTCACTCTCTTGTCTGTGCCTGTGAGTCTGCGACAGCTTCCTGCCCCTGGCTTGCGGGGGCCCCACTGCCTTCACTGTCCCGCCGCACGGCTGCCCCTCTCCGCTGTCTTTGCCGGTCCCCTCTCCCTGACCTCCTCGGGGGGGCAGAGCCGTGGCCTCGGCTTCGGGCCTTTATTCTTCTCCATCAGTGCTCACTCTCTCGGGGTCTCACCTAATCCAATGGCTTTAAAAAACTTCTATCCGCTGACGACTCGCCACCCAAGGTACATCCCCAACACAGACCCCACTCCTGAAATGCAGACCTGCACACCAACTGCCCAGGCAATGTGCCCGCCAGGACGCCCAGTGGCTGCGGCCGATGTTCACATGCTGAAGTCCAGCCCTGCTGGGCGGCCCCGCCCTCTGCTCTCTGCAGTTCCCTAGGTGTCCGCCGGTTAATGGCAAATGCCGCACATAGCTGCAGCTGCTCAGGCTGAAACCCATCAAGTCAGACTTGATTTTCCTCTTTCTCATCTCTCAGATGCAACCCACTGGCAAACCCATTGCCTCTATCTTTCAAATGTATCCAAAATCTGACAGCGTCTCTCACCATCCCCATGGCTATCTACCTTATCTGGTATCACCTCTTGCCTCAACCACTGCAAAAGCTTCCCCCAAGAGCCGCTGTACTGCAGTTCTTGCTCCCCCCACCGTCTATTACCCATTCTGCACCCAGTGCAGGCCTGCTAGGCTGTGCATCGGATCTTGTGACTCTATGCAGACATGCCACTCATCACTAACAGCCAGGTTCCCAATCTCTGCAGGATTATGGACAGGAGCACAGAACACCCCCACCCCCTTGAAGCAGTAAGGCCAGGGAGAGACTTGCACAGAGCCAAGGAAATATGAATGAGGTGATGGGTAGCACTTTGATATCAAAGCACTTTGGACGCCTGTGCTTGACTCTCCATTTCTCCTTCCCCGTCGTGGAGTCCAGGGAAGCATGAGCTTGCACAGAGGCCCACGGGACATGCACAATGTTTACCGAGTGAATGCAGGAACAGATGTGCACCTCACAAAATCCCATCTTTCTAACTCCTATCTGCAGGGGCTTACTTCAGTACCCTTTCTTCACAAAGCCTTCCCTTAGCTGCTAAGGATCTTTCCTTGCCCATAATTCTCCATACCTCTTCTGCAATCTTCTCCGCCACATTGGATCACATCTGTGTGGGTGAAGACCCTTCCCCAGCCACCAAACCCGAGAGGCAGGGGCTGCCTCTGGCTCACCCCCGTGTCCCCACACCACAAATGCCGCCATGCACGTCTCAGGGAGCTGGGCTCATGAAGCAAGGGCTCCAGGCCGTCTCGGCCGCCTTGGATTGGTTGATTCCCTTTCGGGAATGTAAGAGGCGTTCCCTTCTCAAAGCTCCGACGTTGTCCAATAGTGGAGATAAAATGCTAACGTGTTTCACTCGCGCAGACAGCCTCAATAGCTGTGCGGGTGCAACGGGCACCCAAGGAGCAGACCCGGCCTGCGTGGCCGGTCTCCACGCAGCAAGGGAAACGGCAGTCCGGCGAGATGCGGCGAGACCCTGTGGCTCCCTGATCATCACCGCATTAAAAATTCACGATGCCCACAGTGGATGTCGGCATTCCGGGCTGCATTGTTTAAGAAGATAAAACGCGGCTCCGGTCACTGCCAACGTTCACCCAGAGGAGCAGCCCAGAAAGACACAGAGGGAAGGCCACATCGGCCGGACAGGCAGGACGCACACGTCTGAGGTCCCTCGGAAGCTGCTGCCGCTGCCCCCGACACCTTCCGCCCGAGGCCAAAGAGCCTCGCTCAGCGCGGGGACTCTACCCACCGGAGAGCAGCCTCCGCTTTCCACTTTCCGCGGCCAGCGACGAAGGCACTCAGCTGCCCGAATTCCCACTGCTTTCAGAGAAAGGTCTCGGTGATAAATAAAACATAAGCATCAGGCTTTTGGGTTGTTTGCTCAAAATGGTAAGATATTTCAAATGATATAAAAATCTTTAGATTAACAGGATACTCATGGACCCACAACCAATTCGGAAGGAAAGTATTCCAGGGTGCTTCCTGTCTCCTCTGCCCTGTCCCTCCACCCAGTCCAAGCTGCTCCCTCCCTCCCTGGACACAGCCATCACCCGGAATTTGGGGTTTCACGAGGGGTGAAAAAGAATTAGGGGCAGCTCTCCAGCTGTCTGGGGTGACAGACCTGGCTAAGGCAGAGAAGGGCCACAGGAAGGGAGCCTTGGCGTTTGTTGAGAACCTTCTCTGGTCCAAACGCCTCTCACGGGACCACAGTTAACCTTCACCGGAACTCTGCAAGGGAAGAATTATGGTTCTGGGGCCGAAGGCACGTCAAGTGCAATCTGAGAGAGGCAGAAGGTGAGCCTGAGTACGTAAGTACAGCCGAGGTCACGGGTCCTGTGTGTTTTGCTAATTCCACAACTGAATAGCCATACAGTCACTATATACATCTATGTGCATGTGTGTGTATATTAACCATATATATATATACACACACACACATATATGCATATTCCTAGTAGACACACATTTCAAAATATGAGCTAATTAGTGAACTGTATCTTAGAACAGTGCCTGGCACGTGGCATGCAGTGCCACCCCTTCAAACATCAGACAGTATTACCTCTGCACCCAGGATCAGTAACATATGATACAGAGAGATGTATTTAACATCAAAAGGAATGCAACTTACGTCTCACACAGTACGTATTTTTTCTTTACACACTACGTTACAAATCTGAGACGGGCAGTCCACTGGGAAGACGATGCACACACACACACACACACACACACACACACACACAGGCCTTCGTACATAGCGAAGGGCTCACCTCGCAGGTTTTCAACAGGCAGCCAGTGAGAGGGCAAGGGCCCACGACTCAGCTGGAGGCAGAGGGAGCCCAGGACAGAAGGGGGGCGGGGGCGGGCAGATTCCCGAGTACAGTCAGCACTTTGAATGGAAGGTACACTCAGGGGTTTAGGAAGGAAGAGGGAAATAAAGGCTCTGGTGGGGGTGGGGGTGGGGGTGGGAAGCCCTGCCACAGCCGTGGGCCTGACGGAAGAGAGGGACAGATGGGGCAGGAAATGGCCCGCTCAGTTCCAGTTCGGGATGTTTCAGAGAGCAGGAAAAGCTCCGAGTTACAATTCTCAGCACATCCAGCTGCCAGGGGACTTTGGGAGGTCAGCAGAGTGGGGGCTGGGGAGGAAGCAGGTGAGGGTAGAGGCTGGGTGGAAGAACAGGTAGGAGAGAAATGTGATCTATCTACTATGGAGATCAAGCTTTTCAGATATTTGTATGGAATGTCTGGCATTCATGGTATTACTGCAGAAGGTAAGATCATTCTAAGAGCTGGGTGACTCCTTTCAGTTCTGAGAAACGAACAAAACAGTATTATTTCACCAACCTAACCAGAACTGGCGGCTCCTTCAGGATCTCAACTGCCGGCCTGTCTTGGGAGAGATGACTAATACGTACGGATCACGTGACATGTTCCACGCAGGCTGACGGGGCCTGGCGTTCCAACCTTTAACCCCAAAGCACCTAAGCAGTGCTTTGCTCTTTCTGCCATGACAGTGACAGCAGCCGAGTGTCTAGCGAATGCCAGTCACTGCACGCGGCACTTTGCACACGCTGCTCCACTCACTCTCATGCACAAGTTGGGTGGTAAGTGCTGTCACCATCCTCACTGTGTGGATGCAAAAACAGGCCCATAAACAGGGGAACTGAAACGTCCGCCTTCTGATCTCAGGGCCGAGGACCTTCCCCGTGTCCTGAAGTGGGACGGTCCCTCGCCTGGTGTGGCACTTCAGTTGCGTGCCT